CATATCCTTGAAGATGTATCATGGGGGTGTTGCAACCTAGAAGACACAAATTTGACTAACAAGTTATAAGTACATGAGTCAAAAACTATGGAAAAGTAAAAGAAAAGATTCTTTTGGTACGGAAAGCCTGAAACCAGCTTTTAGAGTCTGAGGAAAGTGTAGCTTTTTAGTAGTTGTTGCTATGTGCCATCGTGTCAGAACTAACTCATAGCTTACCCTCCATTGCCTTTTTAAATGTTTTCTGACTCTCCCGTGGAGCAGCCGGTGCACTCTGCTTCCCTTTAGATTCACAAGACAAACTTCTTAATGTTGCTCAGAGCAATAGTATATCAAGTTCTCAGTGCTACAGGAATCCAAGTGAGAGCCATGACTGAAATTTTTCAGGTTCATAGAACCCATTATTGAGCGTGTGCTAGAGTGTCTATTTGAAAAGAACGACGGATGAAATTTCCTTATACTTTCTTCTTTGGTATTTTAGAGAACAAACATATTCCCAGAAAGTGGCAAATGTGGTTCATCACAGGAGGGAACACATTATCAATCCGTTTCCAATCTGAGGATTTTATGTATATTCTGTCATGACTTAGCCTATAGTATAGAGCACTGCCCCTGTTCTCAACTTTGGGAGACTCAGGGAAGTACTGTTATACTGAGATACTGTTATACCCTTTCTCCTCCAAAGTGTCTCAGGATCCTGAAGGATTTGTCTATATTTTATAGGAATGATTCATGAAATACAGTGTGAATGAAGAACAAAGTAAATGAAACACAATGCACGTGAACTTTGTAAGCAAACCAATATAAAATGAAAATTTTAAAAAGGATGTATGTATTCCAAACTACACAAGTTTTTGTTTGTTTTGTTGTTTTTTTTTTTTTTTTAAAAAAGGTAGGTGACTCCAGTTTAGCAGAGGAGGAATATCAATTCAGGGAAAAGTCTCAAGATTATGACTCTGAGATGTTTCTGAGGAGGAAAAATGTAGTTGTACAGACAATACATAGCCCTGGTAAACCTCAGGGACAGCTAGATGAAATGCCCTCTCATGTCTCTGAAATGTTCATAGGGAAATCAGGTTTTGTGAGTGGGCAACTTCACATCAACAGGGGGAGAAGTCACAGACCCTGTCATAAGTCTTCTTCAGTGGTTGATTTGAACAAATAAAGGCCATTGGGCACAACAGAATAGAGTGGATCCAAAAGGAGCCTAACCTTATTATCTAAGGAATTACAAGCAGGGATCACCTGATGAAGTACTCCTTTTTATTTTTAGTTTTTACCTTAGGATGAGAGTCTTTCCTCCTTCCCCATTTTACATAAAAAAATGGTTGCATACTTTTGTTTACTCTTTCATTTAATGCTCATTAACACTGCTTTTTTTTTTATGAGGGTTTTTCCCCCCTTTCCCTCCTGTCTACCTTTATCTTCCTTCCCCCTTCCCCTTCCCCTTTTGGGCCTTTAGCCACATCTTACTAGTTATATTTCTGTTTTTATAATAATAGTTTTAGGCAGTATTTGTCCTTAAGAGACTCAGCTCACTCACTAATACACTCCAACATCTCCCATTTTATGCAGTATTTTTAAAATACTATATATTATATACTCTATAATTACACTTTATAA